CCCCTTTGCCATATTTGGCGTGGCCCCGCCCACCTGCCCTATTTGGCCATGGCTTTGATCGCGACAGCGGCTTCCTCGGTCATCGCCGACAGCACCGTGATCTGGGGAGCAGGGAGAAACCAGGATGGACCAGTACTGACCAGTATAAACCAGTACGGACCAGTATGGACCAGTAAGGACCAGTATAGACCAATAGAAACCAGTATGGACCAGTACGGACCAGTATAAACCAGTATGGACCAGGATAACTCAGCTCCTCCAGTATAACCCAGTCCTTGCAGTGCCCCCAGCTCCCCCAGTCCATCCCAGTCCATCCCAGTATAACCAGTATAAACCAGTACTCCCAGTATTACCATCTCCTCACCGCAGTCGTATTTCTGCTCCATCTCCCGGCCCAGCTCCCCCAGTACAGACCAGTATAACCCATCCCAGTATAACCATCCCAGTATAACCCAGTATAACCAATATAACCCATCCCAGTATAACCAGTATAATCCAGTGTAACCCAGTATAACCCATCCCAGTATAACCAGTATAATCATCCTGGTATAACCCAGTGTAACCCAGTACAACCCATCCCAGAATAACCAGTATAACCCATCCCAGTATAAAACAGTATAACCAATATAACCCATCCCAGTATAAACCAGTATAACCATCTCAATACAACCCATCCCAGTATAACCAGTATGTACCAGGATCTCCTCGCCACAGTTGTATTTCTGCTCGATCTCCCGGCCCAGCTCCCCCAGTATAACCAGTGTAACCCATCCCAGTCCATCCCAGTATAACCATCCCAGTATAACCCATCCCAGTATAACCCAGTATAACCAATATAACCTATCCCAGTATAACCCATCCCAGTATAACCAGTATAAACCAGTATAACCAGAATAACCCATCCCAGTATAACCAGTATTCCCAGTGTACCAGGATCTCCTCGCCGCAGTCGTATTTCTGCTCGATCTCCCGGCCCAGCTCCCCCTCCGGCAGCCGCAGATCCTCCCGCACCTCCCCGCTGTCCTGGAGCAGCGACAGGTACCCGTCCTGGATGCCGATGAGCTGTGAAACACACAGGTACACACAGGTGAGATACACCTGAACACACATGTAACCTGTGTTACACACACAGGTACCCGTCCTGGATGCCGATGAGCTACAGGTGAGATACAGGTGAGAGACAGGTGAGATACAGGTGAGAGACAGGTGAGAGACAGGTGAGATACAGGTGAGAGACAGGTATGGACACAGGTAACCCTTCATCAGTGACAGGTACCCGTCCTGGATGCCGATGAGCTACAGGTGAGAGATGATACAGGTACACACAGGTGAGATACAGGTATGGACAGGTGAGACCTTCACAGGTAACCTACACACACACAGGTACCCGTCCTGCCGATGAGCTGTGGGACAGGTGAGAGATACAGGTGAGAGACAGGTATGGACAGGTAACACACACAGGTACCCGTCCTGGATGCCGATGAGCTGTGGGACAGGTATGGAACAGGTGAGAGACAGGTGAGATACAGGTGAGATACAGGTATGGACAGGTGAGACCTTCACAGGTAACCTACACACACACAGGTACCCGTCCTGGATGCTGATGAGCTGTGGGACAGGTGAGACAGAGACAGATGAGATACAGGTATGGACAGGTAACACACACAGCTATGGACAGGTAACACACACAGGAATGGACAGGTAACACACACAGGTAC